TTTGAGTTAACCATATGAGAAGGTATTAATTTACCAAGAATACAGATTGATTAGTGCATATTCATGGTCACTAGCTGTTAGTTTTCTAAAATCGATTTTGTTGTTTGCCAAGGTTCGGCATTAAAAATATTTATACCCTAACAGGGTAGTGCCAATCTCATCAATCCATGCATTTCCAGCTGGCGTGTGGAAAGCCAAAACGTGCAGCGCTCAGGAGGAAGGCGCCCCGGGCCCGTGGCGGGATGGGGAGGCCAACTTGGTGGGGGGGGGGGGGGGGGGGCGGGCGGGCGGCTCTGTTGGTGGTGGGTGGGACTGGCACAACTTGGAGCTGTGAACAAACTTTTGGGACCCCTCTCCCTGGTCTAAGAGACAAATCTAGCCAGCAAACGGCGTCTGCTCTAAGTCAGCACAGTAAACTCCATGCTGTGCTGCAAAGCTGCCGTCCACGCCCTCCTCAGCCTGTGTCAGAATGAACTTGCAACCCCCGTCTCGTGACGGAAGCCGCCAGCTGGAGAAACCAACAGCAGAAAAGAGAAAGGGGACCTAGCTCCTGCATGCCAGCCGCATTTCTTAGAGATGGAGGGAGTAATTAGCCACCCTGGTCCTTGCCTCCCTCCACACGTGGATAACATCAGCATCCCAGAACTTTGATGCATAACCAAGAAATCCTTCTTTATGTTATCTTTAATATACAAACTAGAGAAAAACCAGATGTACCCTACGCCTTTTGACACATATGAAATTTAGTTGTACATTTTTTTCTGCACATATACTGTTTGTAAGATGTATAAGCTGCACTTGAACCCACACACCTCGGAGCACTTCCATTAGAGCATTCTGTCGAGCTGTTTCCCGGGGCTCCAGTTCCTCCCCTTGATTATTGAATAAACTCCTTCACTGACATTTACCTGGACGCTTTGTTTCAGTCGGCAGAGCTTTGTGCAGAGGGAGACCCTTGTGGGCCTGGGGCTGCAGAGGTAGGGAGGCCACCGACCCCGGGTCCCTGCCATCATCACCTTGGGCGGGTGGTGCTCCAGGCTTGGAGCGGAGGGCCATGGGCCGGCCTTGGACTGGGACCCCAGGAGCTGGTTGATGCTGGATGAGCTGTGTCTGCCTGTTTCTTGTAGGGTCTCCCAGGGGCACACCTGGGGATCATTTTCTCCCCTCAGCTGCATCCTCTGAAAGCCGGAGGGAGTGGGAGGATCCAGTTCCAAGAGGCCCTCACGTGGCTGGCAAGGCAGTACTGGCTGGTGGCTGGGGACCTCAGTCCCCTGCTGTGGGAGCCTCTCCACAGGGCTGCTTGGGTGTCCCCTCAATGTCACAACATGGTGGCTGATTCCCCCAGAGCGAGTGGCCAAGACCAAGATGGAAGCCACAATGTCTCTTAAGGCCTGGTCCTAGAGGTCATGCTCTGTCACTTCTGCAGTAGCCTGTTGGGGACACAGGTCAGCCCTGCTCAACGCGGAGGGGTTACAGAGGGCATAACCACAGGAGGGGGGTCCTTGGGGGCATCTCGGAGACTGCTGGCTGCCACCATGTGGAACTTGATATGTGACCAAAGCGACACCACAGGAAAGGATGGAGCGTTTAGTAGGAAGACTGGCTCATCATGCGGAAGAAAATTAAGTTGAACCCCTGTCCAAAACTGCACCATATCCAAGGATGAAATTACCCCTCAAGAAACAAAGAGCTAAAGACAAAACCTAAAACCATAAAGCTTTAGAAACTGTGAAGCCACGGAAGAAAACAGAGAGCATCTCTGCAACCTTGGGATGGAGAACTTTTTAAACAAGACACAAAAAAATCGACAGACTGGATAACAAGGCAATTAAGGATTAGGGCTCCGTGAAGGACACTGGCACGACCATTGATCCTTGTCATTTTGTGCCAACTTCACAGCTCGTTTGCCCCCCCAGTCTGCAGCTCTCTGCCCTTTCTGGTTTTCATCGGCCGAGCGACTGAGACCCATAATCAACGATCATTCATCAAGGCTAAGTAAGACTTCAGGCCAACTCTCCTCTGCCGGGATAGTGTCCTCAGAGGCATTAATTCCACCTCTCAAAATACCTGATCACCAATATCAGTATGACCGGCCGTTTGTTAGCTTCTAGAACGTTAATTGAACCGCTGGGCCCCGTATGGCTCCATCCAGCAGCATCAGGTGGTACTCTTGGATATTTCAATATAAACCAGACACAATTACATAGTACACTTGTTCTGACCATGCCAAGAAAACGTACCTTCTCCCACATACCTTATACTATTTCTCATAGAAATATAGGTCAGAGGCCCTGTCTCTGTTACTTGAGGGTCTCAAACATCTTGAGAACACAGAGGAATTCCTTTTCTCAGGTCTCACAGTTTAACAGATCTTGGTTGTCCCACAGGAAGCACAGTGTAACATTTGTCCTATTCCACGAGTAGGGAGGACCGTGTAGGGCAGAGCGGCTAGCGCTCAGCATGGCGCTACAGCTACTCTGTTCTCTGATCCGGGCAGCCTCGGTCTCCCCGCTCTGGGCTGTGTCTCCCCAGCTCAGGGAGGCTGCCGGCTCCGCCCGGCTCCCCTCCCCGCTCCACAGCCCAGAGGCTCCCGAGGCAGGGAGCTCAGCAGGGCTCACCCGGTTGGTTTCCCATCTCCTAGGCACCATTCTCTTCTGTTACCTGGTGTCCAGGGTCTTGAAAACTGTTGTTTCCTCTATTTCTCACATCTGTTTTTATCATTCCTGCTAGAGGGTAAATTCGGTCCCTGTTACTGAATCTTGACCAGAAGCAGAAGGTCCGATGACCTCTCAGTGCAGGACGATCTACAGATGCACTTCACCACATTGATGGACTAATGAGAAAAGCTGTGCAAATACTCAAAGGAAGGGAGAAATCTGCACTAAACTCAACCACGAAAAGCCTGTTAGTGAACTGGAAGTAGGAGGAAAAGGTGAACGGGTAAGACTATGTCCACAGCAGTATTATTCCAGGTGAGGAAGCGTCAGACGCATGTTCTTGAAAATCAAGAATACGATGAGGATGCTCACTGCCATCTCTTCTATTTAGTATTGTTTTGGATTTTCTAGCCAAGATGAGACAACACATAATAAGACAAGAAAATGAAGTAGACAAGAAGAGAGAGGAAATAAGACAAGAAAAATAAAGCCACAAAGATTGGGAAGGTGAAACAAAACTCTCATTGATTGTAGAATGATTTGAATGACTAGAAAACTCAAAAGAATCTTTAGAAAAATTGTTAAAACTAATAGGTGACATAAGATCATTATACAAAAATCAGTTGCATTGGGCTGGCCCCATGGCCGAGTGGTTAAGTTCGTGCACTCTGCTTTGGCGGCCCAGGGTTTCGCTGGTTCAAGTCCTGGGCGCGGACATGGCACCATTCATCAGACCATGCTGAGGCGGCGTCTCGCATGCCACAGATAGAAGGATCCACAACTAAAATATACAACTGTGTACCGGGGGGCTTTGGGGAGAAAAAGGAAAAAATAAAATCTGAAAAAAAAAAAAATCAGTTGCATTTTTATGCACCAGCAAGAAGTAATTTTCAATGGCAGCAATGACTATAAAGCACATAAATAAATCTAACAAAAATGTGCATGGCCTGTAGCTAAGACAGAAACATTCCATGTTTTTAGATTTTTGACTAATATCAAAAATCAAAATCCCAACAGCAGTTTTTGTGAAACTTGAATAAAATAATTTTAAGTTTTACACAAAAGAGTGCCCAGTGCACTGAGAAGGAAGAGAGAAGAAGAAAAATGAGAGGGAAAAAGAAAGGGAGAAAGAAAGAAGGGGACAAGAAGGGATTTCCCCTCCCAGAGAAATGGGTCCACATCTATGTGGATTTTTGATTAGGACAGAGATCTATGGTCTGGAAAGAAAATTATTATCCCTGTGGAAAAGCCAAATAGGATCCTTATCTCACCTGAAATACAAAACGTCAGCTCCAGGTAGATTCTAGACGTCAATGTACAAAGCAAACCTTTAAAACTTTCAACTGGAAAAATATGTGACTATTTCTTTCTGTTCTTGAATTAAAGATCTATTTTAAAAGACACAAAAAAGATGACTGTAAAAGACAGATCGATCGTCTGACTTCTCCTGGGGATTAGGCAGATATACAAGAACACTTTCTGAAGTTATGAATATAAAATTATGAACATCTGAAATGGATAAATTCTTAGACTCACAACCTCCCAAAACTGAATCAAGAAGAAACAGAGAACCTGCATAGACCAACCACAAGTGAAGAGATTGAAACAGTCATCAAAAACCTCCTAAAATTATGAACATCTGTGCATCCGAAGACACCTTAAAGAAATGAGAAACTGGGAGGACGCACTGACCACACTTACCCCACGAAGAATGCGTCCAAAGACACAGAGAGCATTCCTACATGTCACGAGGAAAGGAACAAGCAGCTCTCTAGCCTGGTTTTTAAAGTGTGAAGGGAAATATGTAAATAATTTCAGAACATGCTACTACATTAGTTTTCTGTTGCTGCTGTGACAAATTATCACGAGCTTAGTGGCTTCTAAACCACGACATGTTAGCTCGCATCTGTACGTCAGAAGCCTGACAGAGGCGACCGGGCTACAACCGCAGTGTCGGCGGGCTGCCTGCCCTCTGGAGGCTGCAGGGAGAATCCTCGCCTTTCCCAGTTTCTAGAGGCTGCCCACTTTCCTTAGCACTGAGCCCCTTCCTCCGTGTTCAAAGCCAGCAACAGAGGGCCAGCTCTCCAGGCTGCCTTCTCTCCGGTTCCCTGTCTTCCTTCCCTCTCCTACTTTTAAGGACCCTTGTGACTGCACTGGGCCCACAGGAGAATCTCCCATCTCAAGGTCACTATCAATCTTAATCCCATCTGCAGCCTTAATTCCCCTTTGCCCTCAAACCTAATATCTTCACAGGTTCTGGGAGTCAGGACATGGACGTCTCTGGAGCCATTATTCTGTCCACCATAAACACCAGAACATGACGTGCCTGATGTTTGTATCACATTTCAAAAAGGTCCCCCAGCCTGGAAGATATTCAGAAGAAGTTTAACAGGGACTAGTGATGGCAATACCAGAGAAAGAAACAATACCAGCATTTCAGCATCTTTTCACATAAATACAGTATTTTTACTGAAAATAGTTTGTAATTCATATGATAAAATGTTAAGGCAACTTAATATCCAATGCATTTAAAATATGTTATAAACATATTACAAAACATCAAATGAACCATAAATTCATAAAGGTAAAGATTAAATATAATTAATCATTCAATTAGCAAATAAAATATTAGCAGGTAAAACTAATTAAAATATTAAAAACAAATTAAACTATACAAGTGGAAAATACAATTAATAATAAACATTTTTAAGTGATACAATAATATTTTATCTTTTTTAAAGTTCAATCTTAAAAGACAAAACATATCAATGGGCCATCTCTGAGTCATGGTGTATTTTTGTAAAATTGTACTAGGTGCCCAAAATGCTCTTTTTCATTCTACACTAGCAGGTGGGGGGGGATGATAATTCAGAGAGGATGTTGTGAACATTTTGGGATTTGCACATGGACTGTTATCATTTATAATGATAATGAGATGTGTTTTTTGTTTCAAAGGAAATATTTCCGGTGTGTCCTAGGCTTCGGGTAATCATGAGCCCTCAGAGACTCCATGGCCAGGTTACTGCATTGCTTTCAAAACCAGCCTTATCGTCTTCCACTTGATCAAAAAGTCTTTGACCAGAATAAGGATTATTCTTGCAACAGAAGCTGTGCTTTGTTGATTAGCACTTTCTTTCTTCTCTTGAGGATTAGGTAGATATACAAGAACACTTTCTGAACATAGCGCATGTCACCTTGTTAGATTAGCAATGCTAATTCAGTGTATAACTTAAATTTTCAAAAATTTAAAAATACCTGAACAACAGTAAAACCACTGGAAATGATCCAGGCTCCTTCCACATTTCTGCTCCTTTCTCTTACTGATTTGGTGATGTCTTTCCTCATCGTCACAAGATAGCTGCTGCAGCACCAAGCATCACATTCTACAGTCTGGTGTGCTGAGCCAAAACAAACGTGGATAAGAGATAGCCTTCACTTCACATGCCTCTCTTTTCTCAGGGAGGAAAAATTTCCCAGGAGCCCCTAGCAAACATCCCCTTTTATCTTATTGACCAGGTCGATGTCACAGTCTTTCCTTAGAATAAATGTTGGCAAAGAGGATTTCCATGACCAACCCTGATTCTTCCCTTGGGGCAGGGCAAATACCACCTAAACACAGCCTTCTGGGAGTGAGAAGGATGCCACGGCTGCAAGTCAGGCAGCCAGCAGCGTCTGTGCCAGGCTGTCATGAGGCGGGGGGATGAGGTGTGCCGAGGGCAGAACGAGAACCAGCCGGGGTGAGGGAGAGCGAGATTGGGGCTTATCAGAGGGATGCACTTTCCAACAGAGCTGCCTCGGGAAGAGGGTGGGTCTGTCATCAGCAGGGCTCAGCTGGGGTGGAAGAGCCGAGTCTGGGATGAAGGAGAGATGCTCCTGGCAGGGGAAGCAGCGAGAGGATTCAAGTCTGAGGTTCCCTCCAGCCCTAAGACTGTGGTTCTAAAGCTTTTTCCCTCAGTATCTGTGGAGGCTCCTGCTATAGGTTCGCACTTGTTCTCGCCTTGTGTCCTGGAGGCAGCACAGGCCCCCGCCCCATGTGCGAGCTCGTGGTGTGGTCCCTCGGCCCCTGCACACGAGCGGACATGACGGATCAACACGCAGAAGCGTCCCCAGTGCTTGAGGGAGTCGCCCTGCCCATCTTGTCCCTTCCCTCTGCCGTGAGAGCACAGTGGCACCAGAGGGGAGTCCCCGCAGCCAGGGCCCCGACGGTGAGGACGTGGCGCCGCAGCCGACACAGCCACCACGCCGAGGGAATGGCTGTCGCCGTGTACTGTTGGAGAGCCCTGGGAGTTCACAGTTGCTTTTTGGCCAACGTCACCACCGCAAAAGCTGACCCCTACAGGGTCACGAAGTCGGCTCAGAGATGTTAGTTGGGCTCCAGAAAAATGAATCACTTACGACTCAGTTGCACGGTCGACACGAGGCCTTAGAGACAGTAAGTTCAGCTCCGCTTTTCGGGAATAATGTATCGACACTGGGTTGTCTTCATAGATTTACCACATATGAAGGTAACCCTAAGTAATATAATCTTCAGTCTGACGTGTTAAGCTACGCAAATGGAATCATACTAGATGCGTTCTTCTGTGATCCGCTTTTTCCCTCTATGTCACCATCCTGATAGGCATTCATGCTGTTGTGTGTAGCTTAGCACTTCTCAATGGGGCCGTCCATTTTGATAAATGTCTCACAACTGACTTATCACTCTTCTGTTGGTGGACAGTTGGGTCGTTTCCAGTGTTGGCTACTATCAAACTATGAATATTCTCAAAGCCTGTCAAAATGGCATATAATAGCATGAACTGTTGGACTCTTCCCCAAAAATCTATTCTGGAGAAACTGAGCAAGCAAAAAGACACACAGATAAAGCAGAAAAAGAAAAAAAAGTTGGCAACAGTTGTTAGCCCAGGTGCCAATCTTTAAAAAAAGAAAAAAACGCAAGGAAGATTTAACCCAAGATCATCGTGATGAGAGAGCGATCCCGACCCTGAACACAGCAGGGCAGCTGGGCGTTCACGCCAGGGCAGGAGAGGAGGGCAGCGCACGGAAAATTACTAGGGGAGCTTGATCGGGTATTGAAGGCGGCCGAGCACGCCCCTAAACGCCCCGCTCTGGCATCCGGGTTATTTCGGGCTCAGGCTCCTGGGAAACAGCAGGTGCAGGGCGGGGCTTTCTCTAATCCCCTTCTCCACCTGAGCACGGATCCGCGCGTTTCACCGGCCAGGAAGGCGGGCTCCGTCTAGGGGAGGGGATCAGAGGCAAGGGGTCAAGGCCAGGTCAGGAGGGAGCGGTCCCGCGGATTCCCGAGCTCGGGGCTGACGAGACTTGGAATGGAACGAACCTCCCAACCCCGCCCCACGGCCCCATTTGGGGGAAGACCCGCTCCTCTGTGGCACTCGCTGTGGCGCTCTAGCGTCCGAGCGTGTTCTCTATGGCCCCTTCCGGCCTTGGCAGGAAGTGACGCGAGGGTGCCCCGGAAACACGCCGGGAGTGGCTGCGGAAGCGGCGGCGCGATGGCGGCGGCGGCGGTGTCCGAGCCCTGGCCAGAGCTGGAGCTGGCGGAGCGGGAGCGGCGGCGGGAGCTGCTGCTGACCGGGCCCGGGCTGGAAGAGCGGGTGCGGGCGGCGGGCGGGCGGCTGCCGCCGCGGCTCTTCACCCTGCCGCTGCTGCACTACCTGGAGGTGAGCGGCTGCGGGAGCCTGCGCGAGCCGGGGCCGGGCCTGGCGCAGGGCCTCCCGCAGCTGCACAGCCTGGTGCTGCGGCGCAACGCGCTGGGGCCCGGCCTGAGCCCCGAGCTCGGCCCGCTGCCCGCGCTGCGCGTGCTCGACCTGTCGGGCAACGCGCTGGAGGCGCTGCCGCCGGGCCAGGGCCTGGGCCCCGCCGACCCGCCGGGCCTCCCGCAGCTGCAGAGCCTCAATCTCAGCGGCAACCGGCTACGCGAGCTGCCCGCCGACCTGGCGCGCTGCGCCCCGCGCCTGCAGACCCTCAACCTCACCGGCAACTGCCTGGACTCCTTCCCCGCCGCGCTCTTCCGCCCCGGCGCGCTGCCCCTGCTCAGCGAACTGGCGGCCGCCGACAACTGCCTCCGAGAGCTCAGCCCTGACATTGCCCACCTGGCCTCGCTCAAGGTCAGCGGGGCTGCCCGGCGCGGGCGGGGCGGGGCCTGGCGTAGTCGCGGCTAGGGAGCTCCTCCCGGTGCTGAGCCGTCCCGGGGACGTCCCACGGGGACGGGCCTGGGAAGTCTCTACTGGCCGGGAAGAGCCAGCGCCAGTGTCAGCACCTCTGGGAAGCCCTCCCTACCCCCTTTCCCCTCCCACTAACGTGGCCTACATCCTCGGGTGGTTCTCTCCACTCGCGCTAGGCTGTTCCCAACTGGACTTTCCCACGTAACCACTGTTTCGTAATTCTTAGCCAACTTGGCTTCTCTCTCAGGTTGGAAGCAGGTCAACAGCAGGGACTCATGTCTAGATAGTTTATCTCCAAGTATTTTTGAAATGAGTGTGTGAGCCCTGTGTGTGGGGCCACCCGGACAAGGCATGAAGATGTGAAATGACTAGAATTTGCATAATGCCCACAATGTGATTTCATATGTGATATTTTACTTAACCCTAACAACAGTCTTCTAAGGTAGGAGTTAGTATTCCTGTTTTACAGGAGGCAAGATGGGGTTGCCGAAAGTAAACAGCAAATAATTTGGGGCTTCCTCTAGATGACATTGTCTGTGGACCTCTTACTTACTCGTCTTAGGTCCCCAGGCCCCAGCATAAGGCTTGGCTCATAATAGGCGCTCTTTAACTCTGTTGAGTAAGAGGTGGAGCATGGAAGTCACAGAGAAACGTCCTAAATCAAGTTAGTAGGTTCCTGTTCGATGCTCTTTCCCCTGCATCTTCCCTTTTCATTCTTCAAAAGGCAGGCTTGGGCCAGCACCGTGGCCTAGTGGTTAAGTTTGGCACGCTCTGTTTTCGCAGCCGGGGCTTGGTTCCCAGGCGCTGACCTACATCACTTGTTGACAGCCATGCTGTGGCAGCGACCCGCATACAAAATAAGGAAGACTGGCACAGATGTTAGCTCAGGGCGAATCTCCCTCAGCAAAAAAAAAAGGCCTGTATTTCTTCTTTCTCCAGTTTTTCGTTCTTTTATACAGACTTTAAGCAATAGAATGTGTATACAATTTAGCAACTGATCTGTCTGCAGCGGAAATTACTCTTAAGGTATTACCAACTCCTTTTACAAATATGTCTCTGTCTGTGTAAAGATGTATGTATACAAGCATGTGTATGTTTGTAGTTAAGAGAAATAGATGAGAGCACTGCAGAATGAGTTGTGCTGGCATTTCCAGGAGGAAGCTATGAGGGATGGCTCCCTGGGACGCCCTGGTCGTCCAGGGCTGTAGGTGTCCCTCTAAGGCGAGGGGCATGACACGTGATGTATGACGCTTTCTACTTCAACTTCCCCCATGATCTTTTGGTTTTTCAGAAGGTTGATGTGCCAGATGTGTCTCTTAATGTAGCATCATGGGAGTGTACCATCAGTTATTACGGTTCTCTTCAAATCCGTAATGTCTTACCAGTATTCAAGTTGTGTTGTTTTGTCTTGATGCTCTGGACTACTCTCTCTCGTACCCACTCTGTAAAGCCATCCGTCGCCTTTATTGTGTCCAAAAAACCCTCGTTCAGGTCAAAGAGAATGTCTCCCTTGCTCAGTCCCCGTCTCCTGGTCCGTTCTGTTCACCGTCTGTAGACTCCCATCTGCTCTCTTTCACGTGAAGAGACCTGTTTTTTGGAGCGTGTCCTGCAAGAGCTACTTGGAATCCCTTTTGGGCTTGGATGTCCTTTTGGGGGCCTTTTCTAAAATGATGCCTCCATGAGGAATGACTGCTAAAACTGTGTGAAGCAACATTGCCACACACACGCTGGAGTTTGCGGTACAGAGGTATTCCTTGTCCTTCCTGGTGCTGTGGGAAGACAGCTTAGAGGGGAGAAAATTGGGCTCAGAAGCAGGAAGTGTGGGTTTCAGCTCAGCATCTCGTGCAGTGCCGTGGGCTCCGCACCTGTCTCCTCATCTGTGAGAGAACTGTGAGGATGGCCATAGTGCCGGTGGAGGGAGAGGCGATGGCTTCTGTGGGTCATCCAGGGCTGCATTACCGCTCCAGAACTCTGTGGCTTCCAACAACAGCAGTCGTTTTGTTTGGTAGCATTCTCCATCCTGGGCTGGCTCAGCTCCACGGTCCACTGTCCTGCTGTCGATCACTCATGCGGCTGCGTTCAGCAGGCCGTGGGCTAAGCTGGAATGCTGGGGTGGCTGGGCTTCTCTCTCTCCATGTCATCTGGGGACCTCTCCTTCCCCAGCAGCATAGTCTGACTTCTTAGGTGGCAGCTCAGGGGTCCTCAGAGCACGAAAGCAGAAGCTGTTAGGCCTTATAGCATAGACCTGGAATGAGCACTCTCTCACTTTCACTGCATCCTGTCAATTAATGAAGTAGAGCCCAGTACAGATTGGTGGGAGACATCACACAAGGATGTGAATACCTGGAGGCCTGGTTCTCTAGGGGCCACCAAAGTAACAGCACACAGACCTCTGCTTGGCCCTCTCCCCAGGGAGCTGCCGCCAGGTGCTGGCCCCAGACCTCGCAGCTGTGAAGGCCTGACCTTCTGCCCCACACCAGCCACCTGGGACAATGAAGCTGAAGAGATGCTGTGCTTTCCTTCACTACTCAGTTACCTCTGCCTGTGGGGAGCCTGGCTTCATCAGCGTCTTGGCCTCTGACCCATTCCACATGGCTTGCTCTCTGGGGGAGACCCAAGAGAGGCTGGAGTGGGCTTCTCCCCACTTGCATACCTTCTTGCACCAGGCTTCTGTGACCGGTTGGGCCCAACTGCCAGGGCTGTGGTGGGCCAAGGATGGGCGACACCCTCATGTCACTGCCGCCTGCGTTTTAAGTGACTGTTGCCCAGACCCATGGCACTGCCCATTGGACTGACGGAGGGATGGACAAGATACATGTTCCCCTAAACTTCTGAAATGGGCCAGCACAGCACGGCAGCCAGCTAAGAGACTATAGCATCCAGGATTTCCCCACTTCCTGCCAGGAGTTGTGCCCACTCAGGTCACCCAGTGTTGCTCACATATGGGACTCCTCCTGTAGTCAAGCTTCGCAGAGAAGTTAAACTTTGGAGGTGAAACCTTTCTTCCACTGATAAGAGACATTGAAGTAAAAAAAATCCTCCCTCAATCTTATTTTCTCATTGCTGCTGGAGGTAGCGGGGCTCACTCAGGTGTCCAGGCAGAGTCCAGGTCCCCTCAGCAGCCACCACCTGGCATCGCCTGCTAGAACGAAGGAGGTTCCTTACACACCTCCAGAGGGGAGCGTTTTGTCTCAGGTTCTCTCAACCTGGAATTTAGGGTCCCTTCCCCAGCAGCTCGTCCCATGCGAGGGTGACATTCCCATAAGGCAGGCCGCTCACAGTCTAGGGGCAGGGACCGACCCCACTTCACGAGCGCGTCTGTTACCTGCAGGGAGGAGAGAAACGCGTCTGCTGTGTGTCAGGTCCAGGCAACTGCAGTTAACGCAGCAGCTCCCTCCACGTGCACTTCCTTCCCCCTTCAGCACTGATGCGCGTCCTCGCCTTTCTGGGTGGGAGCGCATAAGCCAAACACAGCTTCCCCCGCAGAAGTGAGTGCTTAACCCTCTGGCCCTCTGGCGTAGTTTAAACTCGGTGCTGGCATGACCTCTCGCCCCAGGGCCTCTCCTGAGACTCCCGGCTGCCGTCAGCGTTCCCGGTGGACATGTGAACTCACACTCGGTTGAAGCTGCTGCTCTGGCTGCTCAGTGCCAGGTTGAGCTGGTTTTGCTGTAGGGACCAGCTTGCAGTCCCGTTGGAGGTCTCTGCCTTTTTACAGGACTCCATCATCTGAGGCTTGGCACCCCTAGAACCCTGCCCCTGCTGCCTGCCTCCCTCCTCCCACATTTATATTCCCACAGGGCCCAAGCACAGGTCCTGAGCGGCCACATGTGGCACGTGGCTCCCGCCACTGCTGCTCTGAAAAGCCCGTTATTTGGTGATTGTTGCTCCTGAGAGAAGATCCCCCCCGATACCCTGGCACCTTTGTCCTCTGTGGAGACGTCACCAGTCACCAGGCTGCTGGCCTAAAGCTGCTCTGGTTGGGGCTGGGAACCAGTGAGGCACAGCCCCTGCCCCATCCCGGCCCCCCGCTCCCCTGCCCCATCCCATCCCCCCCCCCCCCCCGCCCCATCCCAGCCCGCCCCTCCCCTCCTCTGCCCCATCCCAGCCCGCCTCTCCCCTCCTCTGCCCCATCCCTGCCCTCCCCTCCCCTCCCCTGCCCCCTCCCAGCCCCCCCCCGCCCCCTCCCTGCCCTCCCCTCCTCACCGGCTCTTCCTCTGCCGCTGTTCCAGGTTTCTCAGCGTGGAGGCAGACACAGTCCATCACCCGGCTGGCCGTGTTTCCATGCAGCCAT